CATATGAAACCACTTCGTGGGCTGCATCCGGCCCCCTGGCCTTGTGTTTGACATGTCTGTTCTAGGAGGTGGGATCAATCAGTGGGTCAAGAAAACTGACATTTCCATCCCTGCATTGGGGAAATTGACCTTAATATTCCAAATTGCTCTCTTCAAGATACATTAAAAAGGAAAGCTTATCTTTCAACATTTTCCAGTCCCCTTGAGCAAACCAATCCATTTGCTAGACAGTAGATAAACATGAACTGAACAAAACCCTGACCTTTGATTACTATGTTCAGCACAGCAATAAACATCCCAAAGTTCAAAGTGGAATCTTTTTTGTCAACTCACCTGTAACCACCTTGTGCCAAGGATTGTAGCTTTTAGCCTATACAGTATAACCAGGGGGAAAGACTATGTTGACAAACTGGATAATGTTTAAGCATTTATCAGCCAGTAAGGGGGGAGGGAAGGAAGGAAGGAAGGAAGGAAGGAAGGAAGGAAGGACCCCAGAGGAGAGGATGGGGGGAGGAGGAAGAGGAGAGTAGAAATGGAGAGAAGGAGGGGGGAGGGAGGGAAGGAAGGAAGGAAGGAAGAAGGAAGGAAAGAAGGAAGAAAAGAGGGAAGGAGGGAAGAAGGGAAGGAAGGAAGGAAGGAAGGAAGGAAGGAAGGAAGGAAGGAAGGAAGGAAGGAAGGAAGGAAGGAAGGAAGGAAGGAAGGGCCCAGAGGAGAGGACAGGGGGAGGAAGAAGAGAGTAGAAATGGAGAGAAGGAGGGAGGGAGGGAAGGAAGGAAGGAAAAAAGGAGGGAAGGAAGGAAGAGCCCAGAGGAGAGGATGGGGGGAGGGAGAAGAGAGTAGAAATAGAGAGAAGGAGGGAGAGGGAGGGAGGGAAGGAAGGAAGGGAAGGAAGGAAGGAGGGAAGGACAGAAGGAGGGAGGGAAGGAAGGAAGGAAGGAAGGAAGAAAAGAAGGAAGGAAGGAAGGAAGGAAGGAAGGAAGGAAGGAAGGAAGGAAGGAAGGAAGGAAGGGACTCAGTCTTCCTCCAGTTGCACCTGTGTGCCTAGCCAGCCAATCCTATCAGAATTGCCTTTCATTAGTGCAATTCATTTTGTGGAGAATATTAGAGTTCTCTCTCTTTTTTTTCTTCTCCTGCCCTCTCTCTCAATCCCATCTGCTCTCAGGTTTTCCTTGCTGCCCTGGCATTTGCATACTTTAGTAAAACCTTTGCTGGGGCCACGATGAAAAGTTCCTTGACACAACTGGAAAGGAGATTCGGCATTGCTTCCTCTACAACTGGCTTCATCGATGGAGCCTTTGAAATGGGTAGGTGGAACCCGAAACCAGGAAGAGAATTAGCTACGGATGGAGAGCTCGAGGTCCTAGGCGTTACATTATTGATCACCATTTTCTGCATTGGGAGAAAAGGGTCCAAAATTAATTGGTATCCAGAGGCCCGAGAAACTTGACTGCCTTGGTCTTAATCCATCACAAGACTTTGACAGCTGGAACTGAACATCATTCAGCAATGGTCATGCCCTAATTTATTTATTTAGCATATACATTTTTGTGTATTTAGCATATTTAGAGTATAAATTTAGCACGATGCCTTGGTAAGGCCACACTTGGAATACTGCATCCAGTTTTGGTAGCCACAATATTAAAAAAAGATGTTGAGACTCTAGAAAGAGTGCAGAGAAGAGCCACAAAGATGATTAGGGAACTGGAGACTAAAACATATGAAGAACGGTTGCAGGAATTGGGTATGTCTAGTTTAATGAAGAAAAGGACGAGGGGGGACAGGATAGCAGTCTTCCAATATCTCAGGGGTTGCCACAAAGAAGAGGGAGTCAAGCTATTCTCCAAAGCACCTGAGGGCAGGACAAGACGCAATGGATGGAAACTAATCAAAGAGAGAAGCTACCTAGAACTAAGGAGAAATTTCCTGACAGTTCAAACAATTAATCAGTGGAACAGCTTGCCTCCAGGAATTGTGGGTGCTCCAACATTTTAAAGAAGAGATTGGGCAACCATTTGTCTGAAATGGTATAGGGTTTCCTGTCTGTGCAGGGGAGTGGTCTAGAAGACCTCCAAGGTCCCTTTCAACTCTTTCTGTTATTCTGTATGGCATCATGACCTAATGGAGAGCTTCTATATTCTCTTCCCAGGAAATCTGTTGGTGATTGCATTTGTGAGTTACTTCGGGGCAAAATTTCATCGGCCCAAGATCATCGCCTTTGGTTGTTTTATCATGTCTTTGGGGAGCTTTTTAACAGCATTGCCTCATTTCTTCATGGGATAGTGAGTATGAGAGAAAGAATTTGAGAGAGAAAGAGATCTTCCATTTGTGGAAGGCCAGTATTGTAAAGATTTATAAAATATCCATGCGGGACCTAAAAGAAACTCTATCAGTTACGTGAGTGAATCACTTTAGATTTTACTCAGATAGAGATGTTCGGAAATGGCCTACATCAGTTTTGTAAGTCGTACGGTAGTAGGAAATTCATATTATACAAACTACGGAATTGGGTTCATAGAGCATTCTTGACTCTAGATCCAAGTTGACAAAATAGAATACTATACTGGAGAGTAGATACCCAGCAGAAATGGAATGGAATGGGTGGATTAACTTGGGGGAATGGGGGAAAGAGGTTCTGTTTAAGGAGCTGAACGGGACAACTTGCCATGGCCAACTCAACGCGGCCAACTTGCCACAACAATTCAATTTCATTATTTAAAATAATTAAAAAAATATTTTAATGTTTGTCACTCGCCCTTCATTTTGTCCTTCCTTTTACAATCTTTCTTTAATGATCCTATCCCACCATTTCTTTGATATTAGTGTAAGACTTGTCCTGCAGAAGTTGTCCTGTGTTGAGTTGGCTGTGGCAAGTTATCCCATGACGAGTTGGCTGAAGCAAATTGACTGGGGCGAGTTGGCTGCATCCAACTGTCCTAGACCCATCTAAGAGGCACGAGAGTGAGAAAACCTCAGTGACTGATAGTCAGAGAAAGAAACTTAGGAAGAACCTGCTGTAAAGAGGCCGTGGGAAGTACCTTCAGACTTGCAAAATTGATATATACCCCTTCTGGGTATATATAGACACTTCTTAAGTAGCAACCGCATCTATAACTATAAAAATGGTCAAAACAATATAAAATTATAAAATAAACCACAACTAACCATGGTATTCATACTAACAGTAAACTGTGTATTCCCAAACAATGCTAAATATGTCTTATTTCTTCCAGCCGGAGAAAAGGTACCTCTAAATGTATTTGTACCCGCACTAGGAATAACCTCTTTCTTTTCCAGTTATCAATATGACACAATATCCTTCACATCAGACAACAACACCAGTTTCTTACCCTGCTCATTCAATCCCCAGGATTCCCCCATGGTAAAAGGGATGCCAAGGCCAGGTAAGAATAATCGATTATTCTGAACCCTCTTTTGAATAGCTGGTATAAAGTTGTCTATAAATCAAAATAAGTCATATGCTAATTCTTCAGTCTTCAGTGCAACATGTTACATCTCTTAGTCCAAATTATGATGTTGCCACACTCGTGTGTCATTTTTTTCTCAGTGCCACTGATAACCATTAGATAATGATGGCGACACCTCATTGTTAGAGATAAAAGGGAGAACTTCAACATAGGACTGCTGCATGGAGCAGGACATGATCTTGAGAGATAGCACTGTCTGAAGCAGAATCAACAAATCTCTCCAAAGTGGTCGATTCAGGTTATTCGCCATTTCAAATTCTGAGAAATGAACTGGCTGCCTTAAGGTGTTGGAGACCATCCCTAGACTGTCATTCCAAAGATCTAATCCAAAGTCTTACTCTCCCTATTATCAACTTATGTTGATAATGCTCTTAATTTCACCTGTTTTGTGGCCCTAACCTTATATTTACTTAGTTGGTTGTGGCTTCTCTTCAGAGAATGATCAGTCTCTCCTGTTAAGCAAAGAAACTTATCAGGGATTTTTTGTAACCAGATTTATGAGAACTACCAAAATGGACTCCATTACGGTACACTACTGTGAATCTGCCTTTGAAAGTTGAGTACACAAAGTGGGAAGCTCCTTTTAAGAAAGACCTTACAATAGAAAATGTGTGTGTGTGTGTGTGTGTGTGTTTGGAAATCATGCTCAGATCTATGGGAAAGATGATGGAACATCATCCTATTAAACATCATTCTACTAATGTAACAGTAAAACTGGCTGGATTTAATCTTGATTTGGATAGCATTATTTGTATGCAGCTGAATATGAAAACATCCAGGAAATGGCACTGATAAATTATTATAGTACAGAATAGCTCTTGATGGTTAGCCACTATGATGCTAGAACAGAACAGAACAGAACAGAATAGCTTTATTTGGTCAAATCTAATAATACACACAAGGAATTTGTCTTCGGTGCATGAGCTCTCAGTGCACATGCAAAAAAACAGAGTAATCATAATCATAATCATAATCATAATATCAATAAGAAGAGGTAGTAGAAAAGATAAGAAAGATAATAAAGCAATAATACAGCCATACTACATGGATAAATATCCTTACACATAAGTCTATGGAAATTAGGTGTTCAGCAGAAGGAAAAAACAGAGGGGGGAAAACCCCTGTCTTTGTGTCTTTGTGTTAGTGGCATCCCGAGGGGAGGAGTTGAAACAGTTTATGTCCAGGATGTGAGGGGGTCAGTAGATATTTTCTCAGCCCTCCTTCTGAACCACACAATATCCAGGTCCTCAGTGGAAAGCAGGCTCGTTGCAATTGGTTTTTTTCCTGCAGTCCTATCTGTTGAAGACAGTATCTGTCCTGTTTGATTGCTGTACCAAACCAGACAGTTATAGAAGCACAAATGGCAGAGTCATATATTATTGCTAGTCATATATTATCGTAAGCACATTTTTATTTTACTATACCTCCATTTTCTGTTTCACCACACTTATTATTTTGCACTCTGGGCTGTAGAAGTATGACTATCTGTGCTTTGTAGGAAAAGGTATGACCGGCGTAATGACTTTTCTTGCCATAATTGTTATTCTTTGCAGACTGTGACCATAAAATGGTTACCTCTTATGCCTGGATTTTCGTCTTGCTGGGGAATATGCTACGTGGAATTGGCGAAACACCCATTAATCCTCTGGGCATATCATACCTCGATGAGTTCTCTAGAGAAGAAGATGTACCTCTTTATATCAGTAATGCTTGTCTGTCAAATGCTTGTCTGTCAAATCCTGATCTGAACTTAATAATGCTGAAGAGATAGGCAGTATTCAAGCTGGGATGGCTTTAATACTTCTTGGCAAGTTGGGGGGTTCCTAAATTATCAAATACTGAATTTAGGTCACATCTAATTCTATTCATTATTGGATATAATAGAAATTGGTATTCATAATCCACGTTCCCGTGAAAAGCTGAAGGCAAAAAATAAGCCAACACAGTCCTAGGCTGCATTAATAGAGAGACAGAATCAAGATCACATGAAGTGTTAGTACTGCTTTGTAATGCCTTATAAGACCACACTTGGAATACTGCATCCAGTTTTGGTTGCCCCAATATAAAAAAGACTGTAGAAAGAGTACAGAGAAGAGCAACAAAGATGATTAGCGGACTGGAAGCTAAAACATGTAAAGAACAGTTGCAGGATCTGAGTATGTCTAGTTTAATGAAAAGAAGTTCAGTTGACATGATAGCAGTGTTCCAATATCTCAGGGGATCAAGCTATTCTCCAAAGCACCTGAGGGCAGGACAAAAAACAATGGATGGAAACTAATCAAGGAGAGATCCAACCTAGAACTAAAGAGAAATTTCCTGACAGTTACAACAATTAATCAATGGAACAACTTGCTCCCAGAAGTTGTGGGTGCTCCATCACTGGAGGTTTTTAAGAAGAGATTGGACAACCATTTGTCTGAAATGGTATAGGATTTCCTGTGTTTCCTGAGTAGGGAGTTGGACTAGAAGACCTCCAAGGTCCCTTCCAACTGTGTTATTCTGTTATTGTTAGAAGATCTCCCTTCCAGGGCTATGAAAACATGCCTCTTTATTAGCTCAGCTGTGAAAACAACATACAGTATTTGATAGGAAGCAAAGATGCTCTCCCACTAACCATAACTCTAGATCAGGGCACTCCAAACTTGGCAATTTTAAGTCTTGTGGATTTCAACTCCCGGAATTCCTCAGCTAGCTATTGTGGCTGGGGAATTCTGAGAGCTGAAGTCAATAAGTCTTTAAAGTTGCCAGGTTTGGAGACCCCTACTCTAGATGAAGGCACTTCTGCAATTCTATTGATTACAGAAGTGGTTTTCCATTGTCTTCTTCCAGGATATTGTTTCAAATTCTTGGGCTGCCTCTCATCCAACTACCAACCACAACCAACCCTGCTTAGCTTCTGAGATAGGTAAAGGTCTATGTCTTCTAAAAACATTAGCACCCATCTTTAGCTTCAGAATGGTGCTGCTGATCTTATAATGAGGAGAGGGAAGAACAACATATTCAATGTATATCTTTCCAGCTTCATTATCCATTGCATCAAATGTTAGAAGTGTCCTCTGGTATGGACTAAATAAAATAATATATGCTTTTTTTCTTCACCATTGCAGGCTTTTTGCACACCGCAGCCATGATTGGCCCACTATCTGGTTTCCTCCTGGGGTCTCTGTTTGCCAGACTCTATGTGGATGTTGGTTTTGTGGACACAGGTAAGATGGAAGAAGAACTAACCAGCTAAGTTGGCTGGTCTAAGTTAACTGCAGCTGTAAATCTAAAGTCATTGTATTTGAGAAAGGATATAGTGAAACTGGAAGGGGTAAAAACTAAGAGAAAGCAGAATTCTGAGGGGGGCAGAGTTACCCCCTTCCAAATTGAAAAAAATTATCTCAGAACCATTAAAAAAAAGTAGCTCAAGAGAAAGGTAGTAAAAGCAATATGTAAAACCAAGACCAATTTTTTTCTCCTTGTTTCATAATCTTAGCATTCAGGATCATAATTAAACCCAAATGCTGGTAGATCTAGGCCCAATGAAAGGAAACAATTGTTTCTCCAATAGATAGCTAAATTATGGAATTCAATGCCACCAGATGTGAGGATGGTGGCCGATTTAGGGGGCTTTAAAAATGGACTGGACAACTTTATTCAATTGCAATAGTCGTCCATCTCAAGCAAGTGACCTATGGAGATGGGCTACAATGGCTATAAATCTTAATGGTGGAATTCTACCTCCTGAATTTGCAGTGGCGAGGACTGAGTAGAAATGGGATATTAGAGGGTAGACAAGCCACTGTCTAACTTTCCTAGAACATAGAATAATAGAGTAGGAAGGGACCTTGGAGATCTTCTACTACAACCCCCTGCTCAAGCAGGAGACCCTAAACCATTTCAGACAAATAGTTGCCCAGTCTCTTTTTGAAAGCCTCCAGTGATGGAGCACCCAGAAATTCTGAAGGTAAGCTACCCTACCCTACCCTATCCTATAGTATCCAGTGGTGGGATTCAAATATGTGAACAACCAGTTCTCTGTGTCGATGCCGCTTCCGGAAGTCCATTTTGGGCCAGGGCAACAAAAAATTAGCTACTGGTTCTGCTGAAGTGGTGCGAACCGGCTGAATCCCACCACTGATCGTATCCTATCCTATCCTCTCAAAAGATTTGTCCACTTTCGGTCATCTAAAAGTTTGTTTCTCTCTTGCAGTTGCTTATGTCTGAAACTCATTTTCATGATGTCTTGCAGATGCTAAGGCCTTCATTTTCAGTTCTCTGAACAGTTCTCTTGTTCACTTTGCTCCCCTGCCCATTAAACTTTCCAGGGCGTCTTCCATGCTGACATTCACTCGGTACATTTAGGAAAGCAAAGACCTGCATTGTTGTTAACAAAGCTCCATGAAACCAACGTTCCAGATAATGGAACTCAGCTTTCTTCATTCCTCATTCTAGATACAATAACTATCACTCCAACTGATTCGCGTTGGGTTGGTGCATGGTGGATGAACTTTTTAGTTGCCGGGGTCATCACTCTGATTTCTGGAATCCCTTTCTTGTTCCTGCCTAAAAGTCTGGACAAAAAGAAAGAAGCCTGTATCCAGAAAAACCTAGATCCCACGGAAAGCAACATTGAAAACAGCCATGAACAAAAGCCTGATATTCAAGGTGGAATGGCGTACTCTGGACAATTAAAAGGTAAGCATTAAAATGGTTCAGTTTAACTGTAGCAAGACTCAATCAGGGTCAAGCTCTGGATTCTAGGAGAGCCAACTATAAGGCTGGGCCTAAATTGGATAAGGACTGTTTTCCACAGTAAGGATCAGAAAATTGGTAGGTTTCAAGATCTGTTGTAGCAGGAGAAGAGAAGATCGAGAGGATCAATCATGGGGGTGAAAGGCACAAGGAGAAGGATGAGATATGGCACTCAGAACATTAGACACAGAGTTAAAGCCGTGGCTCTAGCAACCACAATTCCTAGTCTTGTTGTTTCAGATCTTGAACCAGGGTTTCCTCTACCACTATTCAGTCCACATGGCATCTCCATGTGAAGTTCAAGGCAGCAGGAAGTCACAGATAGAGAAGCACTATACATAGGCAAGTCTACTCAGGACCACCATGGCATTGGATATCAGGATTGATTGGTGCCAGGTGGAAGCTGAGAATTTCCTATAATTAAAGTCCTACCATAATGGCATATGGGAAAGACCTTGGGAGAGAGAGCAAAGAGATGCTGCCAAAGGTATAGAGACAGCATGACTTGTAGCTGGTTGATGGGTGTGGCAAGAGGGTCAGAGGATACCCACTCTAGTTTCTTACGCTGTAAAGGAAATGGGGGGGGGAACTCTACATTCAGACTTACAATTTTCTGTCAATGTAACTTTACAAGAAAGTAGAATTAGCTCATCTCGTTGAGTTTCCTATCTGGTTTGCCCTAGGAAGCCAATACCAATCCAAGTACAATCCATTGCTGGAATGTACAACCACACATCTGCCTGTAGGATTCATGTCTCTTACTATTAGTTATATGATTTTAACCTGGGGGGGGGGAGGCAGGCAAAAGAGTCAATATCCAGAGCAACAGTCAAGGATGCAAAGCAGAAGGCATTGTTCAGACTATGGGACAGATTAACAGATTTGTTAAGGCTTTCTTAACAGATTTGTTAAGGCTTTCTGGACAAGAGGGACGTGGTGGCCTAGCAGTTAAGACGCTGTGCTTGTTAACCGGAAGATTGGCAGTTCGAGACCCAAGCACTGTGTGATGGGGTAAGCTCCCATTACATGCTCCAACTCCTGCCAGCTTAGCAGTTCGAAAGCATGCAAATGCGAGTAGATAAATAGGTACCACTTCGGTGGGAAGGTAACAATGTTCCGTGCACCTTGTTATATAATCATACTGGCTACATTATTATGGAAGCATCTTCAGACAATGCTGGATCTCTCAGCTAAGAAACAGAGATGAGCTCCATCCTCTAGAGCAGTGATGGTGAACTTTTTAGAGACCGAGTGCCCCAAAACTAGCCAACCCCGCTCCACCCCCCCCGCCCCGCCCCCCACCCCACCTGCCTACAGGGTCACTCACTGCCTCCAGGGCCGTTGCAGATCACCCAGGCAGCCCAGGAGCGCCATGGCGCCCACACCTTCTACCCGTGCCCCGCAGCATCAACTGTGTGGGATGGGGTGTGAGGGCAGAGTCTTGTCTACGCTGCCTGGCTGCCATGTCCTTGGCTGCGCTGTTCCGTGTGGGCCACGCTCGGGGGCGACTCTCCTCCAGGGAAGCTGCTGGTGAGGAGGGGGTCGTGGGGGTAGGTGAGGCTGGGGCAATGGCACGTGTGCCCACAGAGAGGGGTCCAAGTGCCGCCTCTGGTACGTGTGCCATAGGTTCGCCACCACTGCTCTAGAGTCAGACATACACTGGATAGAGGAAACCTTTACCTTTACCTTTTTGGGGCAAAGATTTGGTAGATATCATCCATATATATATACCAACAGGCATATTCTACCTTTTTTTCCAGAGTTCTTCAAGTCTCTAAAGAGACTCTTAGGGAACAAAATGTATATTATACTACTGTGCTCCTCACTGCTGAATGCTAGCAGTTTTATTGGATATATCACCTACCAGGCAAAATATATGGAACAGCAATATGGACTGTCAGTGTCGAGATCTAATTTTATAACAGGCAAGTCTCTCTCCCCCTCTCTCTGTCTCGTTCTCATTTCTGCTCTTCTTTACACATACATACACACACACACATACCTGCTTGTACCACAGCTTCCTAATAGGCCAGGTAATTTAAGGAACAATATTTTCACCCAAACGTGGTGGACTTTGAGAAATAAATGAGGGAGGCAATTTGCAAAATCAAAATAAAATGTAAATTTGATTCTATTTTTAATTTTCTCAATAGTACGTAATTAATGGATCATGAGTACCCATCATCAGGCATTCAGGCACTGGTTATTCTCATGTCTGGACTACTGCAACATGTTCTACATGGGGCTAGCCTTGAAGATAATTCAGAAGTGATAGGTGGCACAGAATGAAGCATTGCATACAGTCCTGGAGGCCCCAAAGGTGGCCCATGTACCACCTCTGTTATCCGAGCTGCATCAGTTAATCACTGCAATTGTTAAGTTAGTAACACGGTTGTTAAGTGAATCTGGCTTCCCCATTGACTTTGCTTCTCAAAAGGTTGCAAAAGAGGATCACATGAGCCCAGGACATTGCAACCGTCATAAATATGAACCAGTTGCCAGGCAAGTGAATTTTGATTACGTGACCATGGGGATGCTTCGACGGTCCTAAGTATGAAAAACGGTCATAAGTCACATTTTTCCATGTCATCGTAACTTGAAATGAATGGTTGTAAGGCAAGGACCACCACAATCCTCTTCCCTCTGTTTTCCATCATGTCCGCGCACATGTTTCTTTTGCTCATCTTGAGCATACAAATGGCCAATGGAGGGAGGTGACTTTCACTTTCTCTTTGTTTATTTTTTTTATATATTTCAGCTGTTGCCATTTTGCCAGTGGTCATCATCGGGATGTTTGCAGGTGGGTTCATCATGAAAAAGTTCAAGCTAGGAATCCTTGATGCTACAAAACTGGGACACGCAGCGTCGTTCATCGGATTTGCCTTGACATTCGTGTATTTCATGCTGGGTTGTGAGAACCACCCAGTGGCTGGGTTATCAGCGACCTATGATGGGTAGGACAATATGTTGATAAGTATGTGAGTATGCATAGGTCTGTAAGCTTATCGTGTGTATGAGTGCTGAGAGGATATCCAGGTGTCTATGGCATTGATTGTCATACACAATCAATACACAATCGAGAAGCAGGACAAGTTTACACCATATCTGTAAGCTATGATCAATAGATTCCAGTTACACTGTCCCATCTGAGAGAGCCATCTTTTTTATTTTTTGTATTTATCACCGGTTGATGAATTAAGATGCAATCCCAGCTCCCTTCCCTCCACATCTTGTTCCCTCCCCCCTCATCTTATAATCATAATTTTATCTGGATTGGGAGTTTTGTTTTTATTGTTTTAGAGATGTTATGATTTTAATGTTTTATGCTGTAAAGTGGTATTAATACTTCACGTGCACTTGATTCTATCCCTCTGTTAATGCAGCCTAGAACTGTGTTGGCTTTTTTGGCAGCTGCAGCACACTGCTGGCTCATATTTAAGTGATTGTCCACTAGGACTCCAAGATCCCTCTCACAGTTGCTACTATTGAGCAAGGGACCACCTATTCCAGACATGTCAAACACAAGGCCCGGGGGCCGGATGCAGCCGGCAAAGTGGTTTCATGTGGCCCGCGAAGCCATCCTGGAAACAGTGAGAGAACGGCCCCTCTGCCTTTGCCCTGTCCCAGGCCAGCTGGGAGTCAATGTACAATTTTGTGGTGGCCATCTATGCTGAAACGCATTCAGTCTTAGCTCCATAAACCCCCCTCCCGCATGGCCTGAGAGGAACAGTGAGGCTCCTCCAGTGGCCCATGCCTTGGCACTTGCCCCAGTCCCACCCCGTTCTGCCAGAGACCCTCAGATCTGTCCCACTCCTGCCCAGGCCCCCACAGGCACCCTTGACGCGAACGATGTAGAGCTGGCCACGCCCACCCAGTAGGCCACATCCACTCCATCCACGCCCACCCAGTAGGCCACACCCACTCTGACCACACCCACCCGGCCCCCTGAGGGCAACCGCAATGCTGATGCAGCCCTCAATGAAATTGAGTTTGACACCCCTGACCTATACTATACTTGTTCATTTGGTTTTTCTTGCCTAAATGTAGAACTTTACTTTTTTTTCACCATTGAATTTCATTTTGTTAGATAGCAGCACCCAATGTTCAAGTCTGTCAAGATCCTTTTGTATCTTAAGCCTGTCTTCTGGAGTGTTGTCTATTCCTGCCAGCTTGGTGTCGTCTGCAAATTTGATGATTTCCCCATCTATCCCCTCATCCAAATTGTTGATGAAGATGTTGAAGAGCACTGGGCCCAGAACAGAGCCCTGGGGCACCCAACTACACACTTCCTTCCATTTAGATGCAGTTTCATTGAGGATCACACGCTGAGTACGGCCGGTCAGCCAGAGTACGGCAGATCAGCCAGATAGATAGATAGATAGATAGACAGATAGACAGATAGACAGACAGACAGACAGACAGACAGACAGACAGACAGACAGACAAGAAACAAATAAATAAAATATCTTGATCTATTTCAGATGCTTCATATTGAAATTCCAGGAGAACTTTTAAATGTGCTATTCTCCCTTTTATATTTTTAAGGGACACAGCTGCTCAGAACCAGCTTTCCTTATTTTCAGCCTGCAATTCCAACTGTACCTGTGCTACAAGCCAGTGGGATCCTGTCTGTGGAGATAACGGACTCACATATGTGTCGGCCTGTTTTGCTGGGTGCAAAAACATGACGAGATGGAAGAAAGAAACAGTAAGGGCGAGAGTCTGACTTTTTCCATGTCAGTATTCTGGGCTGGAACCTGAGGAACGAAGAAACGAGAGGCAGAAAACCCGCACGAGAGGGTTTTTGCTTCCTAATATTTTTTTTTTAAAACGAGATACATGAAGTCTAAGGCTTAATTTTTAAATTCGTACGCAAGGTTTGAGCCAGTTTGACCTGGTGGCTAAGGCACCAGAAAGCAGGAAAGCAGGAAACTGTGAGTTCAAGTCCATGGGTGACTTAGGGATAGTCACTCTTTCTCAGCCCCACCCACCTCACAGGTTGTGGTTGTGATGGAAAACAGGAGGAGGAAGGTGTGGTGGATATGCTCACTGCCTTGAGTTATTTGTAAAGATAATGAAGGCGAGATACAAATAAATAAAGATGTTTCTACTGCAGTGAGCAACAACAGATATCAGGATCCTTCAAACACCTAGGGTCAAAATAAAGATGTCATCATATCAAGCTCAACTCCTATCAAGAGCATCAATACTGCGATACAGTTCACTTGCCAGCAATTTGGAAATGTTTTCCATTTTTGTCTGGGATGTTCATTTCGTATTCTTTTCCTTATAGGTTTTTCACAACTGTAGCTGCATTGAGAAAGCAGATACTAAGTTGAGGAATTCTTCCGCGGTGTTGGGTGAATGCCGAAGAAGTGATGAGTGCTCAAAAAATTTTATTTTTTACACCATTACCAAAGCTGCGAGCGCTTTTCTGTACTCACTGGGTGGCGTTCCTCTGTTCATGCTCCTTATCAGGTAAGGAATGAGTTAAGTCAGGGGTGGGGAACGATGGCCCTTTTATGACCTGGGGACGTCAACTCCCAGAATTCTTGAGCCAGCCATGCTCCCAGGAATTCTGGGAGCTGAAGTCCACAAATCCTAAAGGGGCCACGGTTCCCACCTCTGAGTTAAGTAAATAGCCAATAAGGCAGCATAGTTACTTAAGATTCTGTCAAGACTTTTAAAAAAAAAAATTAAAAGTCAAAAATCTAAACCTCAATGAAAATATATGTATCCTAGAAACCTATGATTTTTTAAAATAATATTTTATTACTTTTCCAATTTTACATTTGAGTATTTAAAAAGCAACGTGGTGACTGGGTTTAATCAATAGTTCAATAACAAAATCTTTAGTGCAAATCTCAGGTTACAACATCAGATATTTTTTCTCTTTTTTCCTTAACATTTACTGTCTCGTATTCAAACTAGTACATTTCTAATTATATCAACTCAATAAAAACATCATTATTTCATTTATCAATAATTTTTTAGCTTATACGTACGGTATCTTAATTACATTCAATCTTCATAAACACTCCATATCCTGTTATTAATTTTTATATAATTTTTAATTTCTCAACAATATTCCAATTTAGCCTTTGATATCCATAATTTTCAGACTTTGGGTAGCCAAGACTTCCTTTATCTCACTTCATAACAAACTATAATATCCAAAATGCACATTTTATCTATTTAAATGTAATTAATTTTTAAGCACTCCAGCTATTCCTTAGGCTATTTCAATGATATCTTTCCAAACAATTATGTTGTAATTTCTGCCTTTTAGTGAAGAGATAGCAATGGAGGAAAAAAATGTTGCAATGTCTATCCAAGTCAACTATTTTTGTGGTTCCTTTTTTTTTTTTACCAAAAGACAAAGAGGTGAAAATTTCTTAAAATAATTTCGCCTTGTGTCTAATTTCCTTTTCCCCCATAAAGCCCCGTAGAGTATATTTATGTAATATGGAGAAATCTTAATGTTGACTTATAGAACTACAACTTCCATCCTCTATAATCATTCATTCCTGCTGATTGAGGCTGCTAATTCAGCAGCATCTGAATGTCCACACCTTTGCTATTCCTTAATATGACTAGAATTTTATTTATCTTTGCTTTCACTACAAGGGGAGACAAGAAATCAGAAACTGTTTAAGACAATTAAGATTTTTATTTTTTTTTTGAGGGGGAAGGTATGAAAATCTGTCTGGTCTGAATCTTTCTCCAGTTCTGATTGTGTGGAGTGAGGGGGGAGTCACACCTATTCTGAATCACATTTCCCAATTAGTATCATATTATGCAAACTGAAATAAGCAGGGGAAGCACCTTCTACGTATAAACGGTTCTTTGGTCCATTGAGTCTAGCATCATTGGCTTTGATTGGCTGTGTCTGTCCAGGAAGATAGGGAGGACTTTCTGATATCAATCAGAATAGAGCTGGAGATCTTCTAGTCCAACCTCCTGGTCAAATGGGAGACCCTATACAATTTGAGACAAGTGGCTAGATGATCATTGCATAATTTCATCTTTTTCACTGAAGTTGCCAGGAATCAAACCTGAACTTTTCAACATTCATGAGTAGTAACTGCACTCCAAATGTCCCCATGTCTACCACTATAGGAACTGCTTTGTGTAATTGCTTTGTGTCGATCCAAGCACAGCAATAGGAATGATTGCCTCCCATCGACCGGTACGCTCCCACAGAGCGGGCCTCCTCAGGGTGCCGTC